TGTCAGCATTTTGGAAAACCCTAACTTAACTCTGGTGCCGTGTCACATATAGAAATTTTTTGATATTTGCAACCATAGTAAAACAAAGACTTATATTTTTGATATTTATTTTATATATTTAAATGCCATTTAACAAAGAAAAATCAACCAAAAAAATGAGTTCGCGTGTCACCTCTGACACGCGTGTCATAGGTTCCCCATCACTGATATAGACACTTAAGCAGTAGGCCTCTGATAAATGTATGTTGGTAGACCAATTAGATTGATCTTTATTTTGAAATATTTTAAAATTTAAATCACATTCTTCTCACATTACTTAATATATATTTATTATTTGATAATTTAAAATTCCTCTTGTATTAAGAAATGCACTTTTTTTTTCAGTTCTCTATTAGTATTCATGATACACCTAGGGTGGGACATTTGAAGAAACACTTCAAGTGATCTTTTCTCTGATACCAGTAGGTGAGACCCTTTTGAATATGATAAAAATTCTAAATCCTTTGCCTTCAAGGACAGTTAAGTATTTGCCATGACCTATGAGACAACCTGAGATTTTAGTGTCCCAGAGTGTTAGAACAGTGCTAGTCGGAATCCCAGCTATAACTTGGTCCAACTCTCTGGATGGCTTGGTGGAGATTTCTTGACCTTTGCATATAGTTGGCAGGGAGGGGACTCATTTAATCAATCCCCTTTCTCAAAGTCTTCTTAGAAGTCACCTTCCTACTGCCTAATACCATGCAAATATACTCCATATTTTTCCATTTAAATTGCTCTGCTCCACACTATTAATCCTGTCCTTGCTGTAACTGGAGGTGGGTGACAATATTTGTGAACATTATTATTTGGACCCATGTTAGCCTATCTCTAAGAACACAGACGATGAGCTATCACTCAACAAGCCATTACATTGTTGACAGAGACTATTTTGTGAATTGGATGAATGGGACTCTAAAATTAAGTCATTTCATTGGGACTTTAAATCATTAACAAATAGTCACCTAAGAATGATGTAGTAAGAGTGTTCTTCGTAGGAACTTTGTTGTGGTTTACAAAGGCTTTGAATTTTGTTTTGCTGCTTGTAGTAATTTTGTTTTCTTTTTCTTTCAGGATTTATGAGAAATGTTTACTTACATCCAACCTTTGTCAACTGACCTTGAAAACTGCCATGAGATGCTTTTTTAGAACTCGGTTTTATTCACCTTCAGTGCTTTTACCTCAGCTTCAACTGCCCACCCACACAGCTGAGCCGCCGGGATGACAGGGTCTCCCTGTCATTGTTTATGTGTGTTTGCAGGAGCTGATTATTGAACTCATATTTAATTTCTACTGTCAGTGAAATGTTACAGTATTTTTCTAATTGGTTTTGCCTCTTATTGGAAGTATAATTACAGCAATGTTAATAAGAGAGAAAATGAGAGGATCATTTGATGCTTTCAGGTTACTGGGAGCTATGGGTGGGTGCTGTATGCTTGTCTCTCTAAGCAGCTAATTCTCAGATCAGGTTTGGGGAAGCTTTGGCATCTTTTTTGGATTTTAATCCCTACTTTCTTAATTCACTGTATAAACATGAGTAAAAGACAAAAATAAATCTTTTAATCTCTTTTAAACAAATTTATAAATAAATTTTGAACTACCTTTGCATACATGGTTTGGTTTGCTTTTATTTTTAATGAAAAGCTCTTGAGTTTTTCTCTCTTGAGGGGTCTCACTTTTATATTCTCCTTTATAATCCATATAGATAAAATATAATACTGTAATCATTATGAGATCCGCTTTGGTCTTGAGCTATTTACTAATAACTGTTCCTCTGGTTTTTCAGAGTGGGATAGTTAATTTCCTGAAAGGCCAATGTTTTCCTAAAAAGCAACTAGACAAAAATGTTGACACCACATGTATGGTGTTTTGGACACTTGTATTTGCTGTTTGCAACCTATTTTCCATTGCTTAGTCAGCTTTTTAAAAAAAATCTTTATTGTTGAAAGTATTTCATATGTCCTCCTTTTTCTCCCATTGACCCCTTTTGGCCCACCTGCCCCGGGCCTTCACTACCCTACGTCTGTGTCCATGGGTTATGCATATATGCATACAAGTTCTTTGGTTGATCACCTCCCACTCCCCCACCCTCTCCCACCCTCCCTCACCTTCCCTCTGAGATTCCACAGTCTGTTCCATGCTTCTGTGTCTCTGGATCTATTTTGTTCATCAGTTTATTTTGTTCATTAAATTCCACATGTGAGTGAGATCATGTGATACTTGTCTTTCTCTGACTTTCAGTCAGCTTTTTTATTCTACTTTACAACCTTGAACCAGTTTGTAGACCCCTAAAGTACAAAACCTCAAGAATATTGATTTTCCATGCTGTATACTCCAGCCCCCTCCATATTATATAGAGAAAACATTGCATTAAGTCTTGGAATGAAGGTTGGATAAATGAATAATTTTTGCAGCTGGATAACTAATAATACTTTGCAGCATTAAGAGATCTTTTGTGTTTCCAATTGCTCTGTTGAAATTAACTTTCCATATCTCTGTATTCAGGGAAACATTGGGACTTCAGATTCTTGGGCCAAGACTAGGGGGCGGGGAGCTCTCAGAAACAGGGCAAGTTATAGAAAGGACCACGTTCGGTGGGAGTGGTGGTGGCAGAGGACAGATGGTTCACAGCTAGTTTCTCTGGAGTAAATAATGCAGATGTCCGTGGTTTCCCTCTCTCCTGCCAGCTGAAGCCACGTTAGTGCTGTTGACACTAATATCAAATGTTTGGTCCATTTGAAATCCTTGCCAATTCCTTATCCTGGGTTGGAAGCGCCTCCTAACTGATTATAAATGTGTGACTGTTGTGGGCATTTTACTGTTGTGGCGTGTGGCCATCTCAGTCCTGCGCCTGCCAATCTGGCTGCCTCACAAGCCACTGTGGTGTTCAGGTGTTTGTGTCTAGGCTCAGCATTCCTTACTTGCTGCTGTTTTCCTGTGTGCCACCAGGAACTGTGTAAGGGAAAAGGATGCTTTCTTATTTTGGGGGCTCTTGGGAAAGTTGGAGTCGATTTCTCTTCCACCACCTGCTATATCCTGCGTTCCCTAACGAAGATATTTTGTTCAGGTATCCTTTTTCATTTTTAGAAACAGTTACATTGTGCTTCTATGGAGAATTATGACTTCGTGGCCAAAATTATCTAGAATGTGAATGGGGTTGTAAACATCTTCCTTGAATAATTCTCTGTGTAAGTGAAAGTAACCAGAAAAGAATCGAGAGGTTTTTTGTGTGTGTAAGGGAGTGGACCATTTTGTTTTTCACATTTCATCTGCCCTGTTGAATCACTTAAAATAAAATTTGACTTGAGGGTAACTCTAGATAGGAACCCCAAATTCCAGTCACTATCTATCTCTATGCTTTTAAAGTTCTTTCTTTTTTCTGAAAAAGAAAATATAAGCAAGACACATTGTTACAAAAGTAATAGGTGTTTGTTATAGAAACTTAGACACAATGATAAATAATTAAAAGAAAAAACTAGTGATTTTTTCAGGTTTTTTTGCTGTAGATAATCAGCATTAATATTATGGTATGCATTCTTCTAGATATTTTTTCTATCTGTATGTGTGTCAAAATCCCTGCAATAAAAATCATTATACACACTTTCTACTGATCAGATGAGGACAAACACCTAGAATTAGAACTTGTAGTTCTAATTGAAAACCTATAGTCAAATTACTTCCTAAAAGATGTCACCAATATCTATTACCACCATAAGTATGCCCTATACTCTCCCCAATACTATTAGTGGCTATGCTGAGTGAAAAATGTCATTTGGAGAGATTAGAAATACATAACCATAGAGATAGTAAATATAAGCTTAATCTTAATTTCTAGGATATTAAACAGATGGGTCATGATTAGTTGCACCTTTTCCTCTGAAAGGGTGTGTTTGGAAGTGTGGCTGCCAGAGGAGGTAGCAGAGATGTGTTAGAACCGCTAATAGGGATAAGAAAATAGTAAAGTTGTGGGTTTATTTATTTATTTTTTTTACTTAGTGAGCTGGAGCATATAGTAGCTAGCTCTTTGCCGACGTGCATGAAATAAGATTGAAGTACCAGTAATCTATAATTCATGTATATGATGAAAAAGTATGCCTTTCAGTTACTGTAGGATTACAGAGAAAGTCTGTTAGGCATTTCTTTCAGGAAGCAGCTCTGTGTTGAAACGCTTTCCTTTTTAAATATTTCATTGTTTAACAATGGAGTTTAAAACGGATCATAAAAAGAGAATTTACTTTCTCTCATAATTATATGCCCAAAGTAAGGGTTTTCATAGGCATAGCAAGGCAAATGGAGGGAAATTGTATTACATTTATTGCCATGCCATTGTGCCACCTGCTGGGGCAGAGGACACCGGGAGACCTGTGCTGCGACAGTTACATCCCCTAGGAGGCTGATTATTACAAGCCCCTTGCTTTGCTGCTCAGAGCCGGATGCAAGTGCCCACCGCCTCCCTCCTCTATCCTCCCCCACAGAGCACTGCCTATAGCTGTGCTGAATGATTTGTTCAGTCATCAGAGGGAAGACATTTTATTCTACACAAAATGTTATATGAGTGATCAACATTGGATTACGAACTGATTAGACATTTTAATTTGTATATTTTAGAAACCATAATAGTTCCAAAAAGGATCAGAAATTTTGCTTTAATAATGAGATAGAACAGATAAGAGAGAAATATTTGAAATCAGACATTATGAACTAGGAAAAATCAGAAATAAAAATTTAAACATAATATTTTTTGAATATGCACTATGGAGGCACAAAGATAAGTGGCACAGTTCCTGTCCTTGGGGAACAGAGCGATCAGGTTCTGTGACTGCAATAAACAATCCCCATATCTCAATGGATGGTAATGTTTGTATCTTGCTTATGCCACACATCACGCACAGATCAGCAGAAAATTCTGCTTCTCCTTGTTGCTCAAGAACCCAGGCTGATGGGTGCTCAGTTTCTTCTTGTGTTTTCCATATAGCAAGGGGGGAAGATAGTGGCAGTATCTTGCACTGGGTGATTAAATGCTTTCACCTGGGAAATGGCACCTGCTATTTCTGTTTATATTTTATTGGCCAGGACAAGTCCCATGACTATCTCTCACTATAAAGGGAAATAGAATTCTACAATGTTCCCAGAAGAGAATTGGAATATTTGTAAATAGCCCTAAGGACTACCGCCAAGAATGTACTTCTAGGTTAAAGAATCAAGACACAGGCACATAAAAGCTTAAGATTAAAGATGCACATATAAACGCAAACAATAGTAGAAGCCCAGTTCAGTTCAAAATTTATTAAGGGGATAACATATCCCAGCCACTGTGCTAGGCATGGAGACTATAAAGATGTAAAAATCAGCCACAAAAGAATTCTATTTTAAGATAGGGATATACACAGAGATAACTTAGGAAAAATATGACATAGGAACTGTGCAAAGCAATGAGGTAAGAGATGTAAAACACAGACTGATCACATGGGGCTTTGGGCCATATCAAGTAGCTTGGACCTTTGAAGGGTTTGAGCAGGGAATGAACCTGAGTAGATTTTTGTTTTAAATAAATCGTGAGTGATCCATGGAAGATGGATCTAAGGAAGGCAGGGCCAGAGACAGAGCAGCTAGTTAGAGGTGATCACATCAGTCCTAGTGACCCAAGGTGAGAGTTCTAAGCGAGAGTGTTGAGTGGAGATGGGGAGAACAGAATGAGCATGTGGAGTTCTTAGGATATAACAAAGCAGGACTTTTATAAGTGACTGAATGTAGATGGAGAGTGACATGTCAGATATGAGTTTCATATTTCTAGCCTGGCTGAGTGTATTGATGGTGATGTGACCACAAAGACAAAGTTTGTGGCATTTCAAAGAAAGGGGAGGCCTGGTGTGGTCAATAAAGAGTTTTAAAGACTATTGATATAAACTCAGGAAAAGTGAAATAGGTTATCTCTGGGCATCCTCTGATCTAACCAGAGTGAGAATGCAGATTCGTGTCTCATGTACTACTGGACCAGTCCAATGTCGAAAGTGGCGAGTGTCAGAGGCTGTGGCCTGCTGAGATGGAATTTAGTTTGCAGGAGTTTGTTAGGAAGTGCTCTTGGGATCACCAGCTATGGAGGGAAAAGGAGGAGGAGGACTGTGCAGAAGGAGAAGCTGGCCTGTGAGGCAGCATCGACACAGGCCAACTCCACGGGGAACTCGGAAGCTTGGCAAGGGACCAGACCTTTGTGCCTCCACATATACCAGTCATTGGATAGCTCTGGAGGGAAAAGGAGGAGGAGGACTGTGCAGAAGGAGAAGCTGGCCTGTGAGGCAGCCTCGACACAGGCCAACTCCACGGGGAACTAGGAAGCTTGGCAAGGGGGCCAGACCTTTGTGCCTCCACATATACCAGTCATTGGACATAGGTACGCTGGGAAGAGGTTGTAGCATGGTTGAGATGACACTTTATCTGAAGTGATTCTGATGAGAGTTGACAGCTGGGGTTTCCTGCCAGAAGCCTTTCTGGGCAGCTGGACAAGTCCTTTGGTTGAGATGACACTTTATCTGAAGTGATTCTGATGAGAGTTGACAGCTGGGGTTTCCTGCCAGAAGCCTTTCTGGGCAGCTGGGAGACAAGTCCTTCA